TTATTTACCATGTACTCGTGTGGGTTGCTGTGGCGGAAAACCAAACAACTGTCAAAGCAGTTCGTGTTTGCACTTTTAGTTTGTCAATGCGAATGGATTTGTGTGTGTGTCCAAAGTATTTTTAACCCACTTACAGGGAGAGTGGGTAAAAGCCAAGGTACATATTGAAAAAGTTGCAATTTAATTACTCAGAAATTGTGTGGACACCACTTTGAAGACAAAGTAAACTTTAGAGAAGGAAAAAGGATTCAATTATCAAGACTTATTCCATAGAAAATAGTTTAAAACAGAGGGAAAGCTTATAATTTAAATGTATTTAATTTATTCATGCGTAATCCCATCACCGAAATATCACGTTCTCTGCTGGTTTTTCCCCACTTAATTGCAAACTAATTAAAATGTATATAAAATATTATGCAGGCGTTAAAATATATGCATCCCATACTTATTTTCAACTGTTTTTCCTGCATAAATGGGTAGCAGGTGAAAATTCGTTGCATTTTTTCGATCGAACGTGTTTTTTGGCCGAACGGCGTATTTTCCACGCTCCTGTATATTTTATAATGATTAAAATTTGTTGTCATAAAGCCCAGCCCAAAAATAAAATATATATATCGGATCCCTTTTTTATTTTTCATTTTATTGAATATTTTACAACGGTAAGGGAGTCGTTCTGTCGGTGGTTTTGATGATTTATTTGCCACTGTTTGTGGGTAAAAGCCAGAGTTTAAGCCGTTTCTGCTTTAAAAGTTATTAAAAGTGTTGAGAGAAACTTACTTTCAGCCCCATTTGCCACTCGATGTAATTCTTAAGCAATTTCTTTGTGCTATTTTCTAGCATTTCCCGTTCGCTAAGGCAAGAGGATAGCAAAAACTAATTTAGAAAATTGTTTTTAGCCTCTGTGCTAGCTCCTTCGTTGGCCCTCGGGCCAGTGAGAATTTCCTAGAGGGCCCTGAAATGAATCTAATAAAGAAATTACTCCAGACAGGATAGCCGCCGCCGCCGCCAAGGACGCGCTGCCTACGCTGAATAAAATCTCAACGATGTCGCCAATTGCCGTGGGGGGAGGCCGTAATGAGCTGAATAAAAAGTGCGTGGTGGCACACGGATCAGGGGAGTCCTAAATCGCTGTTTGCTCTTAGCCATAACATGAATAATTTAAAAAACAAAAGGCGAAACGATTTGCGACACACGCCGCTTCTAATACACTTTGCCAATGTAATTGCGGATGTGTGAAAAGGATCCTTAGTGTCCTGCTGCACACAATGGCCCAGCTGCTATTCAATTCACCAATTTTCGCTTAATGTTTGACTATTCCTAAATGGCCACAAAGACAACGTGTGTGTGAGTATTTCCCCAGGGGCCAAAACAGGTAACTGAAGCGCACACGTGGCCCCCTCGTTGGCCCAATAAATAAGTCCTGATGGCTAAAATTGCCGATTCAACTTATTCGCATTCGCATTCGTATCCTCGGAGTACAGCGAAACAGTTGTCTGACTTATTCATGGGGGCTTCTGCCGCCACCATTGTTTTTATTGGTTACCCATTAACTTTATGTTGTATCCGAGGCGACAGCAATTCACAATATCCTGGAGGGAAGGGGGGAGTGATGTTACTTTCAGGGTGCTTAAAGGAAGGACATTAAAGCGTAAGGTTTTTACAGGAGTTTAAGGAGTCAAAGATATAAGAAACTTGGGGAATTTTCTTTACTTTATATTGATATTTTATTTTAATGAATTTTCTTTCTGAGATATTATTTTTCTAATATTATTTCAAGCATAAGAATATTATCTCTAAACTCTAGCTCAGCTATTTTGAAATAGAAAACTTTTCTATATCTCCCCCTCGCCAGATACGTTTCAACTGAGTAGCTGTTCCCTTTTGTTTTGGCATCATTTAGGCCAACAATTAGCTGCAACCAACCAGCAGCTGCAGTTACACGGCCACTTAAGCCAGTTCAGTGCGAAAAGCGTGTTAGATGGCTCAAAGTAGACCAAGTACACTCTCTGTTTTGTTCGAAGCCAGCATCCATCCCCATTCCCAGAACCCTCGTCTTTTGTGTTTGTGTCGCTGGAACTTTAATTGCGAAAACATTTTCAAAAGTTTTTCATAAATTTCTCGCACTTAACCGAAAGTACATAACGCAAACAAAAGTAAAGTAAAAGTGTGTGCTACTTATACAGCTTATAATACTCAGTAGTAGTGGGAGTTGGAGTGCTTGTTTGAGTGCAAAGGGTATATGGGTTTTGGGGAGAAGGTAGAAACAGGTGGAATAGAAATTAACATAAAGCTTTTGGGATTTAAAATCTTATTAGAGTAAAATTATTGAGGCTAGATATTCAAAAACTTAAATAAAATATTTAATATTTTGTTTTTTATTACAAAAACCAAGAAAACTATAGAGGTTTCAATCCGTCTGTTCTTTGTATCCTGAAAACTAGGCCACAAAAAGTTTCCCCGCTTTTTAAATTATTCCTGTGCCGCCAAAAAGTATGCAATAATCCTAGCAAACTGCCTAGCCGGGTACTCTATGGTCGCAACACTTTTTCCTGCCTCTTTTTTCCCCCTTTTTCGTGTGTGTATGTGTGCAGTTGCAGTTGCAGCATCAAACTTCGTTGCAATGGCGGCTGCAATGCCCATCAATAAAACGAAAATTGCTGCAGAATGGCGCACAATTGTCCTGGGAGCTGAAAGGCGTCGGAATCTGTGTGTGTGTGTTTGGGGGTGGGTGGCCGTGGCAGGTTGCAATTGTTGTTGCTGCTATGCTGCTGCTGTTGCAGTGAAAACAATCGAAATTATAGCAAACAAGCGCGTAAACTTTTCGCTTTCATGGTCGCATATATCTATATATATGTCATAGTGAGACTGTGTGTGTGTATTGTGTATGGTGTGTGTGCGTCTCGGTGTTAGTGTGTCGGCATTGCAGTTTTATTGCTCTGAAGCAGACATTAAAATGCCTGACAAGGAGCGCCGCGCCGCCAACTGGCAACCTAATGCCGCACAAAACACACCCTCATGCTCATCTGTAATCAGAAATGTTTGTGGGATAGTGATGCGAAATCTAAAATTTTTGGATTCTAGGAAATTTTGGGGTAAATTGTTGAAGTTTAAATTAAATAAAGTTAATTAATAAATTTAAAAAAAGAGCTAAAAGAGTGTAATAAGATTTTAAACTAATTTAAAATGGGTCTAAAAATATTCTTTTATTTATAATAAATTTACAAAATGAATTTCTTTAGTAAGTAAAGCTGCTTTAGGTTTAAAATCAATAAATTTTTCACACAAAAGTATACTACAAAATCGTAAAACTTGATTGCATATTTTGAGATGCTCTTTCTAGTGATTTGCAATCCGTTCTGTTCTGCTCCTGCCCGTGTTCTCCATAAAGAGAATGTTTTCAAAAGCCCAGGATAATCCCAAAATGATGTCGATTTTGTCCACAATAAAACCAAAACAGACATCACTAGTTTATGCGGTGGCTTTTTATGTGTTCGTAGCATCGAAAAGGGTTTTTTTTGTAAAATTTTAACCTTTTTTCTTTTATTGCCGCTCTTGATGACGAGCGAACTGCGCTCATTTGCGTGCACATTTTCGGGTCACAAAAAATGTGTGTCAACAAAAGTTTTTTTGGTTTTTCGCAACCAGTGTTGTGTCCGCTTTCACTGAATTTTCCAGTTGCCGTTGCCGCTGTTATTGCCGCCGCCGAGTGTCCTGTGACCGAATCTAATGGCTCTAGAGGGAAGGACACAAAACCTGCCTGCAATTAGAGAGACTCCGGCTCCGGAGAAAGTTTCAAGTGTGTGTGTGTACAACCCTTTTTGGCAGTTATGACAGCATGAAAACGTTGTAGCGGGAAACTAGTTATGCTGCCATAATTAAATGTAAATTATCGCCATATGTACAAAACAGTTGCCATGTTTACTTATTTATTTGTCAGTTAATTAGTTCGGAATGTGTGCTCCCCCTGGCCTCTTTCTCGTTCTCGCTTTCCCCGAAAAATCTGGTGACTTTTCCCTGTTCCGTCTGCATTACAAACCACGTACAAGAAATGTAATTATTTTCATTACATCCACAAATAAACAAACAACAACAAAAATGTACACCCAAGCAAAAGACAACAAATGCCAAAAAAGAAAAAAAAAAAATATAAAAAACATGGCGTTGGCATTTCCAATACAATGTGCGCTTGTGCTTTGCCGGCTTTTGTTTATTTTTGACATTGACGTCCCTCATTAATGTAAACGACGTCGACTGGCATAAAAAGGCGACCTTCTGTAATTATAATTAATACGAAAGGAACATGAACTCTCACACACACACATAGCCCCCGGCCGACTTTCCGTGTCAATGAGCTGCTTTGACCCGAAACCAATACAAGAGAGAGGGATACAGTGTTAGAAAAAGTATTAAACTTGAGAATTATTATTATTATTCCTTAAATTCTACAAAAGAGAAAAATAAGTAAACGGAGAATTTAAATCTCTAGAATAGGCACCTAAAAATTGGCTCTAAATTACATAAATTTTTGTTGAAATAATTTACAAAATATTAAACCTTAAAGAAATGATGAAGAAGAGTGTTTTTTTTTTTCAACTTTACCTAATCCGAATATTAAACCTTACAGCAGAATATCAACATCGATTATGGGCTTTGACATATATCATAGCATACTTTTAGACACATTTTTAATTGATTTTAAATATTAATATCTAAAAAATTTAAAACTAAAGCCCAAATGTATTTCTTAACCAAAACATTTTTTCTACATTTTCCAAAAAATATGTTTTTTCCCAGTGCATTTTAAGTAATTCTGGCCAGAGCTTACAAATTGCGTCTTTCGTGGCATTAAAAATTCCATTAGCTGCAAACTGCCCGCGTTAATTAGTGGCGCAAACAACTGATAGAAATTTTGATTTCATCTCGCTAAGAAAGCGGAAGGAGCAGCGTCTGCGGGATGGAATGATGTTCCTGGAAATGAAGAACGGGGTGGCTGGACTTACCAAAGATGCGTCCTGCCCGGGTAATTGGCAAGGTGACCGAAATCAGGAGCAGCACAAAGCTAGGAATGATGAGCCCTCGATGATTTCCGTATTCCGGCGATATGCACAGCGTCATTTTGTTGATGATGCAAATTGCAATTTTTGTATTTTGTTTGGGTTGTGTTGTGTTTTTTTTCTCCTTTTCTCTCCCTGTTTTTTGTTAATCTAAAACAATTTTTTGCGGTGGTTTGCGTTACGTTTTTTTGGTGTTGAATTTTTGGGGTTTTGGGTTTTACTCGCCCGGTTTAGCTGTGCCTTTGGTAGCCTTGGGCTTAGAAATCAATTTACATTTATATATTCTTTTTGTTTATTTCCAGTGCCAATTAAACTATGTTTGAGTTAGGAGTTGTTGCTTCTCTTAGTTGTTTTTTGGTATAGATTTTTTTGGTATTTGCACTGATTTTGGCTTTAGGTGATCATTTTGTACGAGGCTGCAAATAGGAAAGAAATGAAAAAAATTTAAATTAAATTTTTGTGTGTAAATAGGATCATTTTTCGTTTGGGTTTCGATTGATTTAAGCTTTCTATCAGATTTTGTAGACTATCTAGGGTGGGTATTTTTTATTTGAAAGAAGTTTTTTGGTGGAAAATGTAAGATTAGGTTGGTAATATTTACATCTTGATATTGTATAACCTTTTTTAGTCTTTTTAGAAAATAGAATAAGCCTTATTTGTGATTTAATTCCACTTTTTAACATCACATCTAGCTCAAAACCTTTCTAAAAATGTTAATTGTATTAAAAAGACTAATTTTAACCCACTTTTCCCCATTTTAAATACAGTCACAATGCAGCTGGTGTGAATTTAATATTTCCCCCTGACGGTTTTTCAATTTCTCCATGCAGTGGTAGTGTTTTTTTTTTTTTACAGGCTCCTAAAATTCCGCAGTTACTATCCCTTTCGTTTTTAGTTTTTGCGGCTGCAAAATTAACTAAAGATGTCAGTCCCTCGCAGCGGGGTGGCATAAACTACCCGTATATGTGAGAGAGAGTGTATGCATGTGTGTGTGTGGCCAAAGTTTATATGCTGAAAATGAATTTGGCATTTTTACAACAGAGCACAGTGAACGGCGAACAGCAGCGGCGCTCTCGGAAGTCTGACAGCATAAAATGGAGTGAAATCTCTGCTGGTGGTGTGCAGTCAACTAATGTGGCCAAAAGGGGTACGAGGGGCACTGGGCAGGGGGCAGGGGGGCAGGGGGTGTGGCAAGCTGTAAAAGCGGGCTTATAGTAAAAGTGAAATGCGCCCGTGGCGGGCTGCACATTTAATGCGGCAAACACAGTTACAACATGTGGCAGCAAATGGCGATTGCTTGGCTGTTCTTGGCCCCAAAAACAACTTGGCTTTTGACTATAAAAACGAGCGAGAGTTCGCCTTAAAGCTGCCACGCCCCCTGGCTCCGTTCGCCCAAGTTTGGCAGGAGCTGGAGCTGGAGCAAAAACACACCAACAAGGACTGACAACAACGGAACCCGCCGCACATTGCACATGACGTAAATGTTGTGGTTGCTTTTAAAAACTTTGTTTTAATGTGTTTGCTGCAGGCTGCACTGCAAGTATTTTTTTCTTCTCTTTTTTCTGTTAACCTCCTTCCCAAGGGATCCTCCTCCATGTGTTGACGTTAAAATTTAAAGTTCAAATTTGTAACTTCCACGGAGGAAAGTTGAAATGAAAACACAAAGCAAATCGTTTTTTCAAAACTTTTGGCAGTTGTCTCAACACGAGGAAAGTCTTCAAATCGGAATATGAGATTTTAGAATAATTTAAAAAGGTGTGTGAATAATGTTTAGTTCTTAGAAAAACATAGCACAGCACTTGGGCATTTTTAAAATAAGTTTTAAACTTACAAAAGTAGTTTAGAAGCAGACAGTAAAATGTTTAATAATCATAGCATACTTTTCACCTTCTATGAAATATATTTTCAAGTATTTTGCAAGCACTTAATATACATTTATATAATTAATTCTTCTTTAATACAAAGATAAATGGAAAAAATATTCTTGATTAAAAATCGTATCTACTCTTACTGATTTTTTCATTAAATACAGTTTTTAATTGCGTAATGCACATAACTGAGGAAGAGTTCCTGACAACAGCTCCATTGCTGGCTTTTCACATTTTCATTTCACTTTTTAAACAATTTTCACAATCGTTTTTAATGCAATATCTTTTTTGTCCTGTCCTTTTTTTTTCAATATAAAATGAAAATTCAAAGGATAGCTGGGGCAAAATATTACACTGCTGCTGCAGCCGCCGCTGTTGGTAATTGAAGTTATTTTCCATATTACACACCCCAGGATTTCAGGTGTGCAAAAACCCGTTGACTTTTTCACTGACACCACTCTCCCTTCATGTGTGTGTGTGTGTTGTGGCTGCACAAAAACTGAGTTTGTGTAAATAAGTTTTTCCTGAGTGCGTTGCCTTTGTGGTTGTTGTTGCCTGTTTGGTTATGGCTCTGGCCAGGAAACAGCATTAACGCAAGTTTGTTTGACTTTACACAAAGAGATGTACACAAATATAAGAGCTTTTTAAATACATGTTTTAAGCTGAATATTTTAAGGGATTTTTAACACATATTTTCGAGATACTTTTAGCCGAGGAAACTAAATTAATAATGAACTACCTGTAAGTCGATGGAACTTTAAGGAAAAGAGTAGGATTATTTAAGAGATTCTTCTTTATTTATTTATTAAAATATCATTTTTATTTTGTATTGCAATTTTATATTGTATTTTACTTCTGTTATTTATTTATCCAAGATTTATTTTATTTAGCTTCTTGTGTCTCTGAAAGACCTCAAACCTTAGTTTATTTTTCAAAGAGGTCTCTGTAATTGTTATCATATTTTATTAAAGCTATTTATCTACAAATTCTTTAACATTTTCTGCTTGTTCACAAAAAAAATTGTTATGTATTCTTATAATTTATTTAATTTACTCCTAGTTTCTTTACTAAATTATTCATTACTTCTATAACGTATTCCTCTATTACCCACAAGTAATATTTAATTTAAAGTTCAAGAACACGTACAAATATAGGCATTTTGTATAATTGGAGCACTCCTATTGATGTTGGGTTAGTGGTTAGGCCGCTAATCACCATTATTACTGGCACCGCAAACGGGGATTGTGTAATTCTCGGCCCAAGTGGAATCCTAATGAAGACGTGGCCCCGAGGAAGCCATTAATAGTGGCGGCTAGACTTGGACGACCCCAAAAACAGGCAACGCCTTACGCTAAGCACCTTAACGACAATTGCTGCCCGGATACCTACCTACCCGGGCATAGAAAGAAGCATTTTCATCTCCGGTGGCAGTTCGTCACTCGGCTCAACAAGTTAGCCCGGAAAATGGGGAAAACAGAAAATAGAAAACAGTAACAGCTCGTAATGACCAGTGCTCGGGGGCAATTAAAGTTCCTCCAACGGTTACTAGTTTCTAGTTTTCTCAATTTTCCACATAACTCTGCCCGTACGTTTCCCCTTGGTCTTGGCCATTAGCAGACAGTTCCGAGCCGCTTTCACGCTTGAATGCTCGGGGAAAAGCGGAAGAGCGGTGAAAAGCGTTAAGTAGCTGCGATGTCAGTAGCCGATTTGCAGTTATGACAACGCCAAAACCGAACTCTGCTCGTCGCCCTTCGCATTTCCAAGTGCATCACCATCACCAGCAGAGGGACTACTCCCTTTTTGGGGGAGTAAACTTTAAATTAAACAGTAGCGAAAAAAGCAGCAGGAGCTGCCAACCGAAAACAACGGGGCGAATGTGAGCTTTTCAGCAGAGAAAGAAAAAATATCCATGGTCAGGAATTTTTCATAGTTTTTGGGTTACAAATGTATTTAAAAATGATACATTTTTATTATTTATTCCAAAATGATGCTTAAGAATTCCCTTTTTTGAGTTCTAAATTAATTTGGAAAACATTTTCTTATCATTTTAAAGAAATAACCTGGAAATATCTTAGTAAATTCTAAACCAAATATAGAGGGAAGCCAGTGACATTTTTAAATGTTTTTCGAAAAAGAATATCAACAAATTTGTCAAGTTTTCACTTAAAAATTTAATTGAAAAATCTATCTGCAACATTTTAAACAAAACATCTTGCTGACAAAGCCACACTATTTACCCTTCCGTTATGAGTATTTTTCATCTACTTAAATATCGAATTTAAAACCACACACATTTTTTCGTCGTAGCGAAAATAATAATATATTTACTACATATTTTTTCTGCGTGCAGCGCAGCGCGGCAGTGAAGAGCGAAAAAATATGGCACTGCATTTGGCATGAGGCAGGGAAACAAGCAGCCCGGGAATTGTCGGAGTAGAATCATACAAAATATGCAAAGGACAGCTGGAACATTGGGAGCAGGAGCTACTACTGGCTCCGGCAGCAGCGAAAGCAACACAAGTTGTAATTTACAGCTTATTTACGTTGGAATAAAAAATGAATTAAGACAACGAACCGGCAGCATGACAGCGTAGGAGCAGCTTCCCTTTCCCCCCCTTGGCAACTCGCAAAAGGTAAATGCATAAATAAATCAGGCAAAGTCCAAACAGAAAAAAATAAGGTGAAAAATATGAGAAAAAGGGAAAGGAGTGGAGCAAAGTTAGAGCAAGTAAATGTAGGAATATAATTAAATGCTTTGACATGAAAGAAAGGCAGTCAACTAAATGGGAAACTGAATGCCGCTGCAGCAACTTGGTTAATTAGCAAAGGCAGTCAAAGAGGTGTTGCAATGTCCTTGGCAAAAGGGTGGAGATATTGAACTTTAATACTTGGGGAATTCATTTTAATTTTATACTAGAAAGGAAAAGTTCTTACTGCTTTTTATTTAAGAACATGAAGTTAGTTAGTTGTCGAAAATATATTAAAAGCAAGGTTAAACTTTGTTTTATAATTTTCTCAGAAACTTAATGATCTCACAAATCACACACAATTATTTATTAACCATTTTAAATATAACAAGTATTTTTTTAGATTTTATATTCCAAGCTTAAGGCGCATTTTTCACTTGCCCAACATCTTATTTCAGTCACAAACTCCCGCTATATCTCCAAGCTTAAACCAAAAACAAAACCTTATCTTTCCCCGCCAAGAGCCAGAATTTTAAATATTTTCTCTGTGAAAAACAAACTAAATTCCGCGCCAGCAGGATAAAAAAAAACACGTGTCAAGTGAGCGCAATATCACGAGGACTTGTCCCTATATTTGTCCCGCTGTCTCCACGCGCTCTGGCACATATAGATGGAGATTATAATGCCAGACGGTTCACAATGCGAGTGAAAGAAAGGAAAAGAAAAACTAGAGAGGAAAATAGAAAAGCTAGAAACTAGAGAGGCGAAATAACAAACACACGAATAGCAAGAATAACAAGAATAACAACTCGCTGCAGCAGCTTAAGTGCAACTGCAGCCGTCGCAGTGTGTGGCTCAAGTGTTGCCGCTTTCCAGCAGGAGCAACAAAGGGGGGCGGAGGAGGAGGCGGTGGCAACCACCCCACCCCCTTAACCCCATCACACAGCCAGGCAGAGCGACAAGTTGCCTTTGTGGCATCAAGTGCGGCACAATTGCACAGAATGCAGCTTGCAACAATGAGATTATTGCACACAGGAATTTATGTGTGCCAGCCACATACGCCTAATCATGTTGTAAGCACTTCCACGGTCCACAAAAAGTACACAAAAAATTATATATATTAGAAAGGGACACTCTCCTCGGGCAATCTAATTTGGTTTGTTTAGATTCAGTTGCAGCCTCGGCTTACAGCGAATTTATTTTATTATTTGCTGATGTTTGCAATTTGGGCACGTGCCGCAAATTTTAAAATAGTTGAGAACGTGTGAGCCAGCAATCCAGGCAAAGGTTAAGCACACACACAGGACACACTCACACATCCTCTTGGGTCGAAGGACCATTTTTGCGCTTCGCTGCCTTTGTTGACAAACACATTTTCCTCTTTTTTTGAGTGGGGCAAACATAATGCCAAAGTGCGGCACCGAAAATCAGCGCAAATTTAGTGGCAAAGCAAATAAATTTACTTTAGTTTGCTCTTTTTTTTTTATTTTATATATTATTTCCTTTGTATTGGGAAATGTCTTCTTCGCCTTGCGGCCGACTGCCTTTTATTGCCCCAACAAATGGCACTGAAATTAAGAAAAATGGCGCAAAAAAGGGTTGCCCCCTTGCCTGGGGCTCAGTGTTTGCTCAATGGCACATGCAGGCGATCAGACGGGGGCAACCCTTTTATCTGAAAACCCAAATAATGTCGGCTATTAGCGGCCGGGTCAGCAGTTCCAAATAAAAGTTTTCGGGGCCTAGAAAACCCGGCAAACCAAGCCGCCGACACTCACTAATTAAACTAATTAACTGAGATGGCCAAGGGATAAGTTCGGGACCGAAAATGTCTTCCAACAAATCGAAAGGGAAAACCAGACGCTCCACACAAAGTGGGTCACCAGGCGGAAAACCCAAGCAAAATGCTAAATATGCTGCTGCCTCCGATTAGAAAGCGTTTAAGGGAGAAGCCCTAAAGGGACTAAATCATTTCTAAAAAATTCTATAAAAAGCTTATAGTATCCCGGGATAACCACCTTTTGCTGTGGTCTATTTTCTGCCCGCTCTAGACCTTCTCTGAGTCACTGAGTTGCGCTCTATTCCCGATGAGGATCGTTGATCTTAGCCCGTTAGCGAACACAAACAAAAACTTTTCACTTGTCACTGATTGCTGCTGCATTTTAATTAGACTTGATTTCATAGATTTTTCTATTTCATATATTTCTCATATATGCCTTGAATGCAGGATAATAATTCCGAGACACTAACGGCGGCGTCAGGATAAACGCGCACACACGCGACGCGAACGCACGAAGTCCGGCAGCAGCGCCAGCGGACACATCCTTACGAGCGCACAACAAACACGAAACTGAGCGCTTCGTCTTTGCGCAAATAAATTCCGTTCCCAGTTGCCACCGAGAATCCGCCAAGTAGCACCACTCTATATCCATCGGTGGCTCGGCTTTCGGGTCGCGTTCCGAGTTCAGAGTTCCCGAGCTCCGGACTCTGGGCTCTGGGTTCTGCATTCCCACCACCCGAAGGCCCGAGCTGCGTTGCCTAGATTTTTGTGCGCGGGTGGACTTCGCCTCGGCCGTCGTCCTGCCGAGAGTTACTCTCACTCTCGCACTCTCTCTATCGCTCTGCGGAACAGGACTCTCTCTCTCGTGTCCTGTTCTAGTTTTGACTCCGAAACCCACCACAGGCACTCCGAATCTAGCGTGGCTTATCACTGATAAGAGAAGAGAGTGCCACGACACGACCTGCTCAAGGCGGTCAGGTGCTGTGGCTTCTGAAACAAATGGGAAGGAAATGCTCACAGTAAATATTTTAAAGGAATATGCATTAGTACCGGAAGGTTCTTGCCAGATGAAGGAATGCTAGGGCTTTAACCGAATTATGAGAATATTTGATTGAGTAAATTATAAGGGGTTTTTTTTTATAGAAGTTTGATATATTTTGCTAAGATGTTTAATTAATAAATTACATTTAATTTTAATTAATTTAGAATTTAGAGTTAAACTTTGTGATTCATTACATTGTCATATTATTGAAACTTCGATATAAAGCCAAGATATTTTATAGGTTTGATTGGTTAAGAATTATTCTTAAAATATGTGATACTTATTTAAAAAAGGGTTCTTCGTTTTAATTATAAAAATTCCTTTCCTTGTCCTGATCTTCTTATATTAGTTTATTTTGAATTAAATTTAAGCTTATGCGAGAGAACCACTTTTGGGAACTATGGATATTTATTTTTTGTATATTAATGGAAATAGGATTCAGGTTTAATATTTAATTAAATAATTTCTACTCCATCAACTTGGTTAGCATATAGTAACATAACATGTAAATCTCTGCTTAAGTAATGTACCCCTTAAAATCAATGTACTGCCCAACATCATCATAAGCCTGTAGACTCCATAAAACACTGTTAATGTCCTGGCACCAAGAATCACATAATCGTATTTCTGTTAAGTTCCCAGAGCTGTAATGTACACAAAATAATGCGAGAAGTCCTCCTGAAATGCTATTAGCAGTTTAATTCGAAACCATGTTACAGTTAACATTCTCTAAACCATAGCTTCTTTACCTTCTGTTAACACAGGCTCAGTTATAACATAACAGTTTGGCTCTGGAGAAAGGTTTCGAAATCAGTTTCGAGTTTCTGTTATTTCTGGCAACTGTTAAAGCGCAGAATCTGTTAAATTTTCGAAACGGTCTCAGTGGTAACCTAAACTACCCCTTGTTTTTAAACGAATGTTAAATGGCTCAATTGGCTGTTCGAAAGAGAGCTGTTATTTTCATAAACTGTTATGAATTTGGCCTTACATTTACAACAAAAAGATAATGTAATGGTACATACGGCTTTTAGAGGGGTGGAATGTAATCTGCGGTCTGTAAGAGAACTCTGTTTAATTTTCGAATGTTAGATTCTGGTGGAATGACTTAAACATATCCCAGGATGTAACCTGTTAGTTGGGCTTACATTTGTCTTTAGTCTTTTCACAGAGTAAAAGGACTGTAAATGGCTACAGAAATCGCTGTGAAATATTATGTTATGTTATTTCTCCTGCTGTTGTTACAACTTTTACTTTTGAATATAAGTAGTTAACGGATTCGCAAAATGTAACATCCCAGTTCAGTAATAATTATTTCTTCGGAATATTTTTACTTGTATTTTAAAGCTTATAATGATAATAATAAATATAAAACGTTAATATTAAATATGTTAAGATTAGAAAAAATATAAAATATAAAATAATGACTTCCTCTTCCGCTTTTTTCATAGCAGTTCATAGGAAATCTGAATGTTCATTCAGCTAAACTCTCTACTACAGAATTTCCTCAGCTATTAAGAAATGTTAATTCTTATTCCAGAAGAATGTTAAATAAAAGGCTGTTGAGGCTTTGTTAATCTAATAACATTACATAGGCCTGTTTATTTTTTAACATTTCAAATTCTTTTGCAAACATTTGCTATTGAAATGTATGTTATCAACATGTTTATGTTTTTCCAACATTTTGTTACATTTCCTAAAAAATTGTATTAACTCTGTTGGCTAGATCCTGTTAGCTGTTGTTCTGTGTTAAGAGTTAACATGCATCCTTAGCAGTTTTCCTTTTAAAATGTTGTTTTTTTTTTTAAACCTTGCAAGGTATTAAAATGTAAGCCAGAAGTCATTAAAAATCGTAACAATCATATATTTTCTTTAAAAAATGACAAAATATTCATTTCAAATTTAAATTTTAAAACAACTCTTAAATAAATTAACTTTGAATTACATTGCAAAAATATTCCCTATAAATATCATTTATGGCGGTTGAAACACCATTAAAGCTGCTAATAACAATTACAATTACAATGCCCAATCGAACCCCTTAATTTGTTACCTCAACTTCCGCAATTATTGCCAATACACAGGCACCTGCCCCTAAACGGTGGCTACGCCCCCTCAAAGCCACAATTTAATAGCCCAACAGGAACATCCTACAGCAAGGCGAAATTCCGCAAAAGGAAGCACAAAACTCACCCCCTCTGGGACAGAGTCAGCAGTGCAGTCAGTCCCCTTAATCGCCAATGTCAACGCCTTTTCGGAAAAGGAGTTCAAGGAGCATCCCGGACATCCGGAAATGAGGACCTCCGAACAACCCCTAAACCTAACCAGCGACGATTTATAACGCACTTTAAATTGCAAAAAATTGCAACAGTGATAAGGGAGCGCCGGGCGTCGAAACCGAAACTAATTCGCAACAAGCGCAATAAAAATTATGAACAATAGCGGAAATTAGCCATGGCATCCTGAGGGAGGAGGGGTGGGCAGAGGGGCAAAGGAGCGAGGAGCGGTGGAGAGGGGCGGAAAAGTCACTCGCTCTGCGGTTTTTCGCCAAACTGACAGCGCAACGAAATGCCAACCAATGCATGACGAATGCAAGCTGCGTCTGCCGAACTCGGGGAACAGATACACTGAAAAAATAATCTAGGAATTTGGAAATTTAATCAGAAAAATATTTTTTTGATTTAAAATTAGTTTGTTGTTAGGAAAATCATATTTCTGACAGTTTAAATTAGCTGAGAAACTAATTTAAATTATAAATTAAAAGGTGAAAAAGAATCTTAAAGAAAGTATTCAAATATATTGATATATTCCATATTTCAAGATACTTTCCATAGATATAAATATTAAATTAAAATATTTAAAATTTAAACAACGAGTTTAATATTTTTTACAAGAATTTTAAGCACTTCAAAGACTTTAAATTCTATATTTACAAAGACTTCCTTAACTATTTCTCTCAGTGCCTTGGCAGGAGTTGCTGAAACAATTGCAGATGACATTGGGGGATAACACTTTCGCTGGGGGTGGCCGGAAGTTCATGGGGGCGAAGTTCACGGCCCCCGAAACCCCCCCTTCGCCAAACACAAACTTTAATTAGCAACTTTTGTAGATTTTTTGCCAGAAGCCTGAACCAAAACCAGGAGCATGCCCTAACCCCCTATCCTTATCCCTGTCCGTGTCTTCGTTTGAGTGGCTGCTGCAGCTTCCGGCGGCGCTGCACCTTTTTGCCCCGGGCTCGTGTTCGTGGTAAGTTGATACCGCCTCTCTATATGGCATCTATGGGTTTATATATAGAATATCTGGCTGGCGCTGTGTGTGGAAAAGTTAGCTTCGTTCGGTGGCAGGATAAAGGATGCCGCTCCGAGGGCGAATGACACTTGACAGTGATTTATGGCCGGGGCCACTGATAACCCGCCAAATCCGAATCCAAAGCCGAAGCGGCAAGTGCAAATCCAGGACAATCAGGACTCACCCCTCTCAGTTGTGTATCTCATATATATATTATATATGGTCTGTATATATTTCCATGCCGCAAATGCTGCAATTTCGAGCCAAAACGCTCGCATGTGCAATCATTTTTTATCGCAAATCTCTCGCTCTCCCGTGCAGCCGCCGCTTTCCGCCCCCCTTGAGGTCCTGCCCAGCGGGGTGTTAAATTGCCAGGACTGCTGCCTCAATTTCAGCGTCATTCAACGCCATTAACCTTCTGTCAATTTCAATAAGTCACAAAAAAGCAGCAGCGGCAGCGGCAGCCTGCCATTCATGGAAATCTGTTGCAATTGCAACGGATCTGGAGTCCAGATCTAATACAATATTGATAAGGACTCTGGACTAACATGCATGTCCTAAATTACACTCACATGGCCACAGGGGATGATAGACTTTTCCAAATGATAAAAATAAAAACTAAAGTCGAGAAGCCGCACTTGATGGGCTGTCTAAATTTGAGGCTAACGAAGCACAAGGTTTTTTCTGAAGAATAAATACATATAATTTTGGAGAAGTTCAACCTTCAAGAACCCTTTTTAATCAGACAAATCTGGTTATAATTCTTTGGTTAATTTTCGTGCTGAAGTGCCAAAACCGCTTAACATGAAGCCCACACAAAATCGATCGCTATAAATGGTATTTCGCACGGTTTTTGTCAGTATTTTGTATTTTTATCCTTGCGGAATGCGGTGCAGTTCACACACGCACACCTTTGGCCGACCGCATATTCCCCAACGAACAGGACAGTACCGGACAGGACAGGACGAGACAGGACAGGACATTGGGCCCGTTCGTTTGGTGGCTGCGCTTGTTGCCATTTCCGCTTCCGTTTGCCGCTGTCGTCGTTGTCATGTCTACATG